GGACACTGACCAGATCACACTGTTATGTCATATATTGTGTGCAAGTAAGAAGATGCAACAGCGAATCCCACTACTCTGTATTGTTATAATGCACCAGTAAAAAGAAAAGAGCCTTCGGCTCAAGTGCTGCTCCCTTTGATTCTGATTCAGCAGTTCTAGGGTAGGGCTGGAGAATGTGATTTTCTTTTATTCCTTTCTTTCCAATGTTGGGGGTTGAACCTAGGGGTGTTTAACTACTGAGTCACATTCCCCAGCCCTTTTTCAATGTTTTATTTTGAGACAGTGTTGGATATGGAAAATGACAAACCCCAAAATAGTGTGGCCCAGGGAGAGGGAATGAGGCAGAAGGCAATACATTAATCCTTTCCCAATATATTCTTCCCCAGTGACAAAACAGGCCCTGGGGAGGAGATATCCATCCAGTCTGAAATGACAGTCTCTGGGAAGAGGCCAAAACATTGATCCTTCCCTAGACAAATCCTTTCCCAGATACCGACCACTGACCCCAGACCCTCCATCTGGCTCAGTAAAAAATAAATCCCAGATACTCAGTGACCACTGACCCCAGACCCCAGACCCCCCCTCCCATCTCACCCAGTAAAACAGACCCCAAATTCCTGAGTGCCCAAACTGACACACTCATTATTCAAGGCATCTCTCAGTGTAACCAATATAAGCACAGACTTCCCCTTTGATCAGTGGCTCATTTTCCACCATGAAAGTGACTCCATCAGAGGTGTCAGTCCATTCCTGAATATAACTTCATTCCTGAATAAAAGCTGTGCTGAGCTGATCTGTGAAGTTTGCTTCCAGCCTGGGCCTTTTGTGCTAACAGACAGGGTCTCACTAAGTTACTTTAGGGCCTTGCTGAGTTGTTGAGGCTGGCCTTGAACTTGTGATTCTCCTGCTTTAGCCTCCTGAGTAACTGGAATTACTGGTGGGCACCATTGTGCCCAGCTAAGAATCTGCTTTTCTTATAAATTCCCAAGTGAAGATCACAGAGTGGTGATCCCAGCATCTTAACCTCAGAGACAAAATCCCTCATTCTACACTTCTACTCAGATAGTCATGGATAAATGCTCAAGAGTTTCTCATCTACATAGGGCACAAAGCAACACTTAGCAAATACAGAAATTGATATAATTCCTTGCATCTGATTATATATCAATGTGACAGAACCCTATACAAAACTATAAAAACACATGGATATTGAACAATACTCTTTTGAATGATGAATGGGTGACAAAAGAAATCAAAGGAGAAATTTAAAAATTCTTAGACTCAAACAAGAATAGTGATACAACATACTAGAACCTTTGGGACTCTCTGAAATTAGTTTTAAGAGGAAAGTTTATAGCTATAAATGCCTATATAAGAAAATCAGAGGGCTGGGGGTGTAGCTCAGTGGTAATGTGCTTGCCTAGCACATGTGAATCACTGAGTTCTATTCTCAACACTGCATAAAAATAAATAAATAAAGGTATTGTGTCCATCTACAATTAAAAGAAAACAACAACAAAAAAAGAAAATCAGAAAGATCCAAAATAAACCTAAGGATGTCTTTCAAAGCCCTTAAAAAAGAACAAATCAATTTCAAAACCAGTGGAAGACAGGAACTAATTAAAATCAGAGCCAAAATTAATGAAACTGAGAATAAAAAAAATACAAAGGATCTGGGGCTGGGGTAGTGGCTCAGTGGTAGAGCACTTGCCTAGCATATGTGAGGCGATGGGTTTGATCCTCAGCATCACATATAAATAAATAAATAAAATAAAGAAATATAGGTATTATGTCCAACTATAACATACGTACACACAAAGGATCAATGAAACAGAGTTGGTTCTTGGAAAATATAAACAAGATTGATAAGCTTTTAGCAAAACTCACCAAAAGAAAAAGAGAGGAGACTCAAATTAGTAAAATTAGAGATGAAAAAGGAGAAATCACCACAGACATTATAGCAGACCAGTGGATCCTTATGGGCTATTTTGAAAACTTAAACACCAATAAATTATAAAATTTAGAAGAAATGGACATATTTCTAGAAAAATATGGCCTGCCAAAACTGAAACAGAAGGACATAGAAAACCCAAACGACCAAAAAAACTAGTAATTAGATAGAAGCAATAATAAAACATCTTCCAATAAAGCAAAACCCAAGATCTGATGGATTCTCAGCCAAATTCTACCGGACAATTAAAAAAGAGATAATGCTAATGCTTCTCAAATTTTTCCATGAAATAGAAAGGAATGGAGCACTTCCAAATTCATTCTATGAAACCAATAACACTCCTACCAAAACCAGATAAGAACACATTGAGGTAAGAAAACTACAGACCAATATTCTTGATGAAACTTACATGTAAAAATATTAATAAAATATTAGCAAATTGGGTTCAACAACATAATAAGAATATTGTAACCCATGACCAAGTTGGTTTAATATATGCAAATCAATACATGTAATTCATAATATAAATAGAATTAAGACAAAAATCACTTAGTCATCTAGATAGATTCGGAGAAAACCTTTGACAAAATTCAACACTCATTCATCATAAAAATACTGAAGAGACTAGGGATAGAAGGAACCCACCTAAAAATCATAAAGCTATGTATGAAAATCCCTAAGCTAACCTTATAGTTAAATGGGGAAAAACTGAAAGCATTTCCTTTAAAATCTGAGACAAAACAAGGATGTTCATTCATCATTCCTATTTACTATAGTGCTAGAAAGTCTAGCCAGAGCAATAAGGTAAGAAGAGGAAATAAAAGGGATAAAAATAGGAAAGGGAAAAGTCAAATTATCACTGTTTGCAGATGATATGATCCTTTACTTAGAAGATCCAAAATACTCCACCAGAAGATTGCTAGAGCTAATAAATAAATTCAGCAAAGTAGCAGGTTACAAAATCAACATACAAAAATCAACAGCTTTCCTATATACCAACAGTGAATCTGTTCAGAAAGAAATCAGGAAAACAATCCCATTCACAGTAACCTCAAAAAAGAATACACTATCTAGGAATAAATCTTACTTAGGAGGTGAAAGACCTCTATAGTGAAAACTATAGATAACTTTGAAGAAAGAAACTGAAGAAGATACAGGAAGATGGAAAGACCTTCCATGTTCATGGATAGGCATAATCAGTATTGTTAAAATGTCCATAGTCCCCAAAACAATATACGGACTCAATGGAATTCCCATCAAAATACCAATGACATTCTTCACAGAACTAGACAAAACAGTCCTAAAATTCATATGGAAGCAAAAAAGATCTCAATATAAAAAGCAACATTAAGTTAAAAAGGACAGAGCTGGAGGCATCACAATACCTGAGCTCAGGACATGCTGCAGAGCCACAGTAACCAAGCAGCATGGGACTGGTGTCTAGAAATGAACTCACACAACTACCATGCACGGACTCCTGCCAAAGGTGCCAGAGAAACATGTGGAGGAGAGGCAGCCTCTTTAAAATGGTGCTGGGAAAACTGGTTATCCACAGACAGGAGATTACGACTTGACCCCGATTTCTCACCTGTACAAAGATCAACTTGAGATGGATCCAAGATCTTAATGTAAGACCCTTAACTCTGAAACTACTAAGAAGAAAATGCAGATACTTCAAGATGTTGTTACAGGTAAGAATTTATTTGGACAAGACCGCCCCAAAACAGAATGACATATGGGACTATATCACACTCTGAAGCTTCTACACAGCAAAGGAAGCAGCAGAGTGGAGAGAGCACCTATGGAACAGGAGGACATAGCTGCCAACTATTGATCTGGCAAAGGATCAACATCCAGATGTATGAGGAATCAATAAGGAAATTTCTAGATAATTTAATTAAAATATGGGCGGGTGATCTGAATAGAAGCTTCTTGAAAAAAATGCAAATGACCAACAAGTGTATGAAAACTGCTCCATCCAAATGAGAACTAAAACTAAGTATCCTCTCACTCCAGTTAGACTTGTCATTATTCAAAAACCAAAAAATAGTAAATGCAGGTGAGGGTGAGGAGAAGAACTAACTCTTCTGTAGGGTTCATGGAAATGTAAATTGGTACAGCCCTTGCTGAGAAGAGTATGGAGATCCCTCAAAGCCAAACCTAGGCCTGCCATGTGATCTAGCCATCCCACTTCTGGGAAGATACCCAAAGGAAATGAACCAACATACTCAGAGACACCTGCATGCCATGCTTACGGCAGCACTGTTCACAACAGCCAAGGTATGGAATCAGTTTAGGTGCCCATCAAGAGATGAGTGGACAGAGAAATTGTGGTGTTTATACACCTTGGAATATTCTTCAGCCATTGAGAATGAAATCCAGTCACTTGCAGCAAAATGGGAGGAACTGGAGGACATTCTGCTGAGTGAAATAGGTCAGGCACAGAAAGGCAAGTTCCCTGTCATGTGGAAGCAAAACATTTGGCCTTATGTGGAATAGTAATCGTTAGAGCGCGGGGAGGTGTGTGCTGGATGGGGAGGGTGGATACTGTGCAATGCGTTTTTTGGGGCACACTGTGTGCATGCAAGGAAATATCATACTGAATCCCACCAATGATGCAATCAACACATGTTAGCCAGAAATAAAGCAAAAGGAAATCTGGTTTTCCATGGTGAATTTAAAACTAGGATAACAAGATAGAAAAGCAGGCTTCTCAGTGTCCTCTAAGACTCCTTTCAAAGTGACCCCAGAATTTTTTTGAAGAAGACAATGCAAAGATTCTGTTATTATAAAATAATAGAAAAATAACAGAACATTGCCACATCCTATTTCAATGTTCATTAAACCATCAGACTTTTTGTTGATATTTTTAATTCCAAATATTAGATATTTATTATTATAGAAATTAGAGTGTCATTAGCCTAGCAAACTCATGATTTTCATAAATAATATTTCCTAGGCCAAACTAAACATCCTATACCCTTTTAAAAATATTATGATCCAGATATAGCAAAAGCGGTAAAGGAGATACAAAATGACCAAGGCCATCTTGAGGGGCATTATTTTCATGTTTATTTGGTTTGATGATGTATACTATAGCATGCCTTGGTTAACAGGTTTTGTAGCATAGAACTTAGAGGTGAATGATGATAGCTTATAGCTTATAAGACTTCTGCTTATATTTTTAAAACATGTTAAATTAGACTTGGAACATGACTCAAATTTTCTATAAAATAACCCATTATGCTTCTTCGGAATGTAATAGGCTACCAGTTTAAGGTTTTATTTGGTTTTTATGCATTAAAGGTTTATTTATAAGCTTTTTATCCACTGTGAATAATTTGAGTCACTGGATCATTCCCCAGCACAATCATGTGCTGCAGAGTGACGCATGGTGGCGGAAGGCCCGCCCACACTTGCACTCCTGCACCTTCCCACGGGTGTGGGTTTTCCTGTGCTGGTTCAGGTGTGCGCTCTGGCTGAAGGCTTTCCCACACTCAGGACATTTGTAAGGCCGCTCTCCAGTATGGGTCCTCTCGTGCTGGTTGAGATGCGTCCTCTGGCTGAAGGTTTTCCCGCAGAAGCTGCACTGATAGGGTTTCTCTCCCGTGTGAAGTCTATGGTGCTCGGTGAGAGACGTGATGCGGCTGAAGGCCTTGCCGCACTGATTGCACTTATAGGGTTTCTCTCCAGTGTGGATCCTCAGATGTTGGGTGAAGGAGGAATGCTGCCGGAAGGCTTTCCCACACTCATGGCACGTAAAAGGCTTTTCCCCCGTGTGAATTCTCTGATGTTGAATGAGGTGTATTCTCTGGCTGAATCTCTTCCCACAGTCATCACACTTGTAGGGCTTCTCTCCCATCAACACTGGCTGAGGCTGGCCGAGAGGCAAGTTGTGGCTAAAGGCCTTTCCATGTTCCCTGGGGTTTTCCGTGGCACATGCATTACTAGGAAGAAGAATATGTTGACCGAAGGTTCTTCCACACTCGTTAAATTCACAGGGGTTCTCTCTCACAGGGTTTCCCTGATAGCAGATCAAGTCTGAGCCAAGTCTGAGGCTATTTCCTTGTGCACCATAATAAAGGGGTATTTGAAGAGAAGGATTTCTCTGACCATAATTGTCCTCTGATCTCCTACATTCGCTGTTTCTCTCCTGTGGGAGCTTTTGGTGGATGAGAGATACTGGTCCCAAATATCTCTGCTGGTTTTCTTGGTTCAACTCTAAGTGATAATCAAAATCCCAGAGCCCTCCTAAGATGGAGTACCAGAAACTGTCTCTTGTTAGTCTTTGCATGATCATGTCCTGGGTTTGGTTTTCATCAGAAATACTCTGGTTTAGAGGTGACTTTTTTACTTCAGGTATGTTCTCTGCATCTAAAAGAAATTCAGAACATATAAATTCTTTCCCAATATTCTTTATGCTTTGAAAAAGAACTTGTTGTGTGAAGAAGTGCCAAATGAAACAAGGCCATGTCACACGGGAAAGGCGATGGAGGGAGGGCAGGGAGCATCGAGAGGGGATTTGAAATCTGGTGTAGCCATGACAGCAGGTCTCCCAGGAGAGAAAGGAGTGAAAGGAGTCTCTTGCTAGAGACACTAGGGAAGCTCTGCTCAGAGGGGAGAGGGCAGTGGCTTCCCAGAGAAGGCAGGCCCAGGCCAGGCCCTGGCAACTTCGTCTGCGGGTTTTCCTACTGCAAGGCCAGAAGCCCGCTGGGGAAGTATCTTCTCATTTTTCATCTTTTGTTTAAGCTGGTAAAAGTAATGGTTGTCTATAGTGTACCAAGCGTACAAAACTATACTTGCCTCTGTTTGAATAATATGGAAAAGCATTAGGAAACAGTCCCAGCTGTAAAATAATCACAGCTGACACTTTGGAGCCTGTCTTGCCTGATTTTTTTCTTGTTGTTCACATAAATATCCACGAAAACCATAGTTTGATCAAGTACAACTCGTGGATTATGATAAAAACAAGATTCCATTCTGTTTTCCCACCACTGCTTTGAACTCTATCCAGCAGGTGTCCTCCCATCTCTCCAGAGGCCTGGGGCTCTCCTGATTTTTAGGTCATAGCTGCTCCTACTGCTACACCAGGTCAGTGTCATTCAGTCATTCCATGTCCTGTGGGGTGAATTCTCTTCCTTCCCTCTTGCTGGCCTCCTACTGATCCCCGCTCTGCTCCTTTCCCCTGTCTCCCCATGCCTCTGCTCAAGTCTCCCAGTAACTGCTTCCCTCCTCCCTTATCGACTAACCTGGCTAATTCTTGTCACAGGAGGCGGGAGAGGTGTTTTGAGGACGAGTTTAGGGGGTGAGGATTTGAAGGGCTGAATAGCTCCAATTTTAAACTTGCCAGATGGTTAAAGCCGACTAAGTTTGGGGAACTTCCACCACTCTCAGGCAGTTCTTAGAGGACTCTCTCCTTCTCTCCTGTCATTTCCATTACCTAGATAGATATAGTTCTGTTTTGGGCAAGAATCCTACTTGACCACAGCCAAGGCTACACTGGCTGACCCATAAGAAACATCCTGTCCAAGAAAGTGTGGTAGCATAAACTCACCCCCACTGCTGGCTGACCACCCATTATAGTCAGCTGCCCAGGGCCCTGGATGTTCTGGGTAAGCATGCTTTGGCTTTCTCAAACGTGTACTTTACTATTGGTCTTATGACCACAGGGAACACGCATCACAGCTGCCTGAATGCGCCCTCCACATGGGTGGCTGTATCATTATTGTCCCAACTGGGACTCTTGTCATTAAAAGCAATACCACCAACAATGAGAATCCTGGGGGCGGGGATTGTTTCTATAATCATAACTTGACTCTCCCCCTCACTCTCCTCCCTCTATCCCTTCCTTCAAAAGAGTGCTAGGGCCTCCGAGCGGGGTTCTCTCCTAAGAAGCTTCTCAGAGCAGGGTTCTCTCCTAAGAAGCTTCTCTACCAATCTCCTCAAGGGCCTCTCAGATCTCTTCCTACCCTTGATCTAGTGGGCTGTTTTCTATCTGCAGGACGCAGGGGAGTTCCCACACGTACCCTGGTGTGCAGATATCTTCTATCAGCTCTCAAGGAGGACAGTTTTTCTAATGCACACTCGTGTGTTAATGTATATGGATGTTAATTATACATAATTTTTACTAATTTTGAAACCCAAACAGAATGATAGTATTATATATTGCCTATGTAACTTTGTTTTTTACTGAATAATATTCTCAGTATAGATCAACCTCATTCTTTTTTAAAGGTTATACCCTATTTTTAAAAAGCTATTCTCCCTAAGTTTTAGATTTTCATTTTGTTGTTGTTGTTGTTGTTGTTTTTGTTGTTGCTGCTGGGATTGAACCCAGGGCCTCACAGATGCTAGGCATGCACTGGGCTATATCCCAGCTTTTTAAAATTTTTTATTTTGAGATAGGGTCTTGCTAAGTTGCCGGCTGGCCTTAATCTTGTGACCCTCCTGCCTCAGCCTCCTGGTAGCTGGGACTACAGGTATGTACCACTGTGTGGTTATTTTCCCCAAGCCAGCTCAGCTTGAGATGGGCAGAGGGGAATGCTACTCTCTTCTCCTTCCTAGTCTCAGGCCAAGGTGCACGCAGAGGATTTTGTAACAACCATCCAGCTCATGGGCTTTGTGTTAGCGCATCTGAGTACTCCAGCCCTGGCTGCCCCTCAGTCTCAGGCAACTACCTGGCCACATCCTTCCTCTGCTCCAGCTGACAATTCTCTGCATGACTTGCCTTCTGTATCCCTCAGCTTTTCAGACCCTGCTCCCTCCGGTCTTACTCCATGGCAAAACTCTTTCCTGACCAAGTCTCCTCCTAATCGGCCAGGAGGAGCATCCTCCGACATTCTGTGGATCTCCCTGCACTGCGTGTGTCCCTTCCCATCACCTCCCGACTGGCAATCACATTCCCAGCAGAGCAGGTGTATTGGGAGTGATTAATGGGAACTAAGAAAAAGAAAGAGGAGTAGAGAGAGGAGAGGAAAGGGTCTGAGAAGACAGGAGGGCTGGGGGAAGGAGAAAAAGAGAGGAGAGAGCCCAGGCTTCTGATTCCTGGGCTAGACTACATATTTGTCTTTATGGAACCACCTAGAAAGTTAAGGAAGGGAAAAGAGGACAGGGGAGGGGAGGCCAGGGGAGGAAAGGGAGGCCAAGAGCAGAGACAGGAAGAGAAAACATACAGATCACCTGCAACCCTTTTGGGAGGTATGGGGCATGGAGCCCAGGCCTGTGCATGTTGGGAAAGAACACCCACATGGAGCTGGAGCTTTCTCCCTGGATTGTATGCTAGCCTTCTGGAGAGAAGCTTTATTTTCAGACAGGATCCAGCTAAATTGCCTTGGCTGACTGAGTTAGTGATCCTGCCTCAGCCTCCCTGATAAGGAATCTCCTGTTCAGTGCCCCCTTTTCCTATTGGTGGTCTTGGCTTCATCTACTTCTCCCTGCTTCCGACCTCATTTAGACCTCCATTTCTTTGACTCTTCTGTGTGTCTAGTTTTCAGTCCTCTTTAGAACTCCTTCACTTTCTGGACTTTGACAAAATCACTGATTCTTGATCAGTTTTCCTACTTTAGTCTAACTGAATCCTTAGGCCCTCCATCTCCGCACTGCAAATCCTGCCTGGTGTTAATGATAAGAAATAGCACATCTGTCATACCAAAAGCCACAGACAGACGCATGGGGCAGAATCTCACTGGGCCTTCAGAGCTGCGGAGATTCCTCTTTCCACCTCTGGCCAGCTTCAACTAGCCTTAGTAAGCTCTCCTGAGTTCCCATTTTGTACCTGCTTTTCTAGTCCTTGATGCTCAGCAGAAGACCTTGCTATCTGATTTGCCAAGAAAACAGAAGTCTCCATACAGGAGCTCCCCAAGCCTCCCACCAGCAAACTTACTACACACACACACACATGCTGCTCACACCTTCCCTCCAGTACACTCTCTTCTGAAACCCTGCCCCAGCTTACCTACCCTTCTGCAGACTCCTCCCGTCAGTGATATGGATAAGCTGAAACCATTCCTGCTTCTCCTTATTCTGGGGGAATCTCTGCATTTTCTCCTGTCCTGCCCTCACTTCTCATTACCCACTGTACGAACACCAGCACAGCTGTCTTTTCTAACCATGGACAGACTCCTCCCAATCACCTATCACTTTTCTTACTAATTCAATCACAACATCCTTGTTGCTGAATCCCTGTTTTCCAGGTTTCCTCTTGGCTAAGAAGAGATTTTGGATAAACTGGTGCTGGCCAATGTCCATAACAAGGAGGCATGGCATGCAGCATGTAGGGGACAGGCCAGCATTTGGTCACACAGCTAGGTCATCCTCTCAGTCCTGAGCAACAGAAGGGCTTCACCACACCTTCATGAGGACAGATGGCTGTGTCCCACAGGACAAGGAAGAACTAGCAAGTGGTTTCCCTGGAAGAGACTGCAAGGCTGCATGCCCCTGGAGGGACATGAAAAGGAACCAGCTGTTTGAGAGGAACTGAGAGCCCTGGGCATCCATGTGTAGTTGCATAATGAAGTTGGGAAGTTGTTCTATGGTTAGCAATTGGAGGCTTGTGGGTAGGGACACAAGAGGGGACAGCATGGGTCCTATAGGTGTAGCATATGCAATTTGGGGAAGAATCAGCTCTGCTCTCTTCAGTAGGTCCTGCCTTGGCAATTCACCTGCAAAGGGAGTTTTTACAATCTCTTCCTTCAGTGTCCTGCTCCCCAGGTTCAGAGGTGTGAAGGGCTGTAAAAATATGCCACTGCGATTGTCAGGTTCTTCACCGCACATCCTAATCAGCAGACTCTGCTCACTGAGGGGCCGAAGTGGGGGTGAGCTTATTACTAACATAACCTAGAGACATGCCAAAGCCAACTCAAGAAAGTAGAAGTGTGAATGGCAGAAAACCATGTGCACACAGTGAAACCAGGTGTCAGGGCACAGAATCAGTGAACTAGACAGGAAGGGGTGGGTGAGCCAGCTCCAGCAACCAGAAAGAACATGCCCACCTCAGCAGGCATTTGCTGAAGCAAGCAGGCAGAACACTGCTGGTGTGTTCCCGAAATAGGAGCTCTTAATATTCCCTGGTCAAGAAAGCCCATATTTAAGAGGCTCAAAGGGGAGAAAGTGAACAGACCTGGGTTTTGAAAATCTTCAATTAAGTGATAGCATGACATTAATAAGCAAAAATGCAATCTAAAATCTGGAAGGAGCATGTGTGTGAAACGTGGGCTGGAAATGCAGGAGTGGGAAAATAACATGGCAGGGTGTCTGAAAAGCAGAACACCTGGTGCCTTTACCCAGCAGGAGGAGGAGAAGGTGGGAGAGGAAGGAGGGCAGAGGCACAACAGCGACTAGAAGAGCCAGACAGTGTCAAGAAGGCAGGCCAACACAATCAGACCAGCAGGACATGGGCAGCTTTTCAACCACTGGATTTGATGGGAAAGAAGTCAGTAATAGTCTCCAGGAAAACCATTTCAGCAGCACAGGTAGAACAGGGTTGTATCACATAGGCGTGTAGGCTAAAGGCTTAATTAAATTTAAAGAGTTTGATAATAAAAGGAAAAAGGAAAAAGAAAAAATAGACAAAAATACAGCATTTTTGATATGGAGAAGAAGGATTTAAAGAATACTGAGAGGACATCTGAATAAAAAATGCAGTGAAAATACTTTGTGGAGATCTGTAGCATTAAAGTACTTATGGGAGTTCAAACTAAGACTTGCAAAATAACTTTTGTATTCCATATTTTAAAATTGTAAATATATATTTTGTTGAATTAAAAAAAACAGCCATTTCCACTTTGGAAATAAAATATGAACTGAATTTTTTTCAAAGGCCTCAGTGTTCTTTAAATCCTGGGGGAGAGCGGAGCATACTCCAATGAACATTCATTTCAGAAGTGATGATTTCCTCTTAGGGTATAAGATGCCCACTGCTCACTTCTCACCTGGAGGGGTTTCCAGGGGGCCATCTCTTTCTGTTAACCGCAGCTCCTCTTGCTCCAACTGAGTGATCACCTCTGGCTTATAAAGCTGATGCCCTATACATGGAAAAAAGGATGTCTTAGGAGTTCATGCTGAGAGCAAAAACAGGTCCATCTCTAGGGGCTCTGGGCTTGGAGAAAGGAGGCTTCAGGGGCATCAAGATGAACTCCTCCTCTCACACTCATAGAGAGGGACAGAAAATGAAAGCCCCTCAGCCAGGACGGATTGGCACCCTCACTGTGGCCTAGCCTGCCTTTACAGAGGCTCTGCTGACTGTCGCCACTGAGAAAGGAAACTCAGTTTCCAGCGTTTGGGGGATGCCACCTTTACCCAGAGCCACCAGGTTCCTGTAGTTCTCCAGCATCACGTCCCGGTAGAGGTTCTTCTGAGCAGGGTACAGCCGCTCCCACTCATCTCTGGTGAAGTTCACGGCCACGTCCTGGAATGTCAGAGATTCCTGAAACACCAAGTACACCCCCACTCAGGCAGAAGAGCCCTTCAGAGGCCTTCAGAGGAAGGATGAAAACAGCACAGGGAAGAGAAGCATGCCTGAGCAGTCTTCTGAGGGTCTTTGCACTGAGCAATGCAGGATGAACCTTTCCAGACCACAAATGCCTGTCTTTCTGTCACCTTTTAAGACCTGAAAATGTGTATGAGTTGGGTGCTGGTGTTGCAGGTCTGTGATCGCAGCTACCTGGGAGGCTGAGGCAGGAAGGTTTTGAGTTGGAGGACAGCCCAGGCCACACAGTAAGACCTCATCTCAACAAAACAAAACAAAACACAAAATGCATGACACATTCTTTGCTTTTAAGCATTTGCAATTTGTTGCAGGGTAAAGATTCTCATCTCATCCACACAGTCAAAAGACTATACGAGAAATTGATTTCAGAAATGAAAGAATTGAAGATATTTTGAAACTGAAATTAGGTATCATGTAGATGGAAACCCTTAATAGATTGTGTAAATCCTTAATAGATTGTTATGAACTGGACAGGAGAGAGGATACTTGGCATGTTTTTTTTTTAAAAAAAAAGCAACAAAGGCAGACAAAGTGGGAGTAGAAGTCACGGATCCAAGTTGGGGTTAGTAAAAGAAATTGACTCATTTCAGGCAGGGATTTAAAATACAAAGGGCGACCTCCAAATTCCTCCAGCACCAATGTTTTGTAAGCCATCTTTTGCCAGACACTGGTAACCCCCTCCTAATACAGAGATCTATCCCTCCTTCCACCCGCAATGCTCCCCACTTTAGGGTACAAACAAATGTATCTCCCACCCTGTTAGCTATATGACTGTGATTTTATTTAATTTTCATGTCTTGATGATTCATCTTTCTAAAATATATTTCAATTCAATGACTTACTGAGGCTAGAAGTAATCAAACAATTCATCCAAGGACATAAATTGGCAGATTGCAACAGGGGTCCTCCTTAGCACCTGTTCCAGAGTTTGTGCTCCTGTCACACCACACAGATGCCTTCTTTCCTTCTGGGTGCTTCCTTCGCCAGCCTTTCTCTGAGGCAGCACCAGAAGCTGTGTCCATAAGGGACCCAGGCCTACACTCTGTATTTTTATTTTTTGGTCTTGGAGTTTGGTCCCAGGGCCTCTGGTGTGCTGAGATCCACTGTGGCTGTTGGGGTCAGTACCCTGCTTCTAGCTTTTCCTCCCTTTCACACCTTCTACTGGCCAACCCTACATCTAGTGAGCCAGTTCTTCTTTCTTCCAAATCCTTAATGAATTTTATTTTGGGGTAGGTAATATATTATTATGACACAGTAACAAAAATATAAAAAGTACATAATAAAGCAGGGTCTTTTTCAGATTTCTCCCTTGTTGGTCAGCTTCTACTTCCCAATAAATCAGAACTGTTCTTAGTTTCCAATGTATCTTTCCAGAATTTTTCTTTAAGCAAATGTGAATATAGATTATTTCCTGTTTTTTTTTTCACTTCTAAAGTAACATTTTATACACTATTTTTAATTTAATAATGGACTCAGAGATCTTTCCCTCTCAGACCTAACAGGACACAGCTTCCTTATTATTTTTTTTTAAAGTGTTGTTTCATTTTGATCAACACATAAAAGCTGACTGCACAGAGAACAGTGGTTACTAGAGGCGGAGAGGGGAGGGGCAGATGGGAGGACTGGGTCATGGGTGCTGTCACAGTAAATGGGAGGAAGGAATTCTGGTGTTCCATTGGACCATGGGATGGATACAGTTAACACTGTACATTCAAAACAGAGGTGAAGACTTTATGGTGCTAGGCACTGACTCCGGACATGTGCATGCTAGGCAAGTGCTCTACCACTGCAGCCCAGAAGAGAATGTTCCAGCCACAGAGAAAGGAATGATCAACAAGAACTATAACAGCATTTGAGAGGAGAGGAAATGGGACTTACCTGGGACCTGACTGTCTGTGATCCATAGTTCACTTCCTCATCCCCACACCCCTCCTGGGAAAGCACAGCCTTCAGAGAGGGCATCACTGGGAAAAGAGTAGAACCACCCTGTTAATATATAATACTGGGGCTAAATTTAAACCTTGGGGCCTTTGTGTTGGGATGGCAGACAGCTCATAGAGAAGACCTCAACAACAGCTGGACCCTGGTATCCCTGCTCCTCCATGACCCTGGGGAACTCGACACAGGACTTCCTTCCTCTGGCACACAGCCACTGGGAAGGAGGGAAAGGATGGAGGCTGGCACTCTTGTGTGGCAGGTGGGGAGCTCAGTGGTTCTTGACCCCAACTACACACTTGGAGACATTTAACAGGATGCCAGTGCCCAGCTCCTGCTCTCACAGATCCAGAAACCCAGTGGTCTGCAGGAGGCCTGGGCAGCAGTTTTTTAAAAACCTTATTTGTTTATTGATGCATTATAATTATACAAATTAGTGGGGTTTATTATGTCATATTTGTGCATGTGTATAACATAACTTGATCAGTCTCATTCCCTAGTACCTTCCCTTTTCCTCTCCTCTGTAGCCTTTTCCCCACATCCTTGCCAGCAATTACTGTTATTTGCATCCTTGATGATAGGCAACAGCATTCAAAATTCTGACAGTGCCAAGTGATTCTAACTGTGGATGTGAAATAGATGAGGTGATGCAGAAAACACACATTGAGGGCCTGTCTTATCTTGATCTCCCCAAGGGTTAAATTCAGCCCAAACTACAGAGACCTGCTCCTCTGCTCTCAGGAGGCCTCTGAGTATACAAGGGAGGTTGTATTCTCCTTCCTTCAGGTATCTGTGTTCCATTCTCACCAGGGCTACTACTGCACCTCTTTGCAACTCCTGGATGATGACTCCTCTGGAACAGCCTCTCCAGTCAGGAGATGCACCAGTGCCAACAGTTTCAGTATCCTAGCCTGTCCTTAAAAATGACTTTAGGGACATTACGTATGAGTAACGCCACTCTGAGGTGATTGAGAATCAGGAGTCAATGATTTTTGATTCTTAGCAACACCCACCCTTGGGATCTTGCCTTGTTCATGCAGAGCTGAGATGCAGGGGCTCCTGAAGGTAGATATTACTCAACCATATGTGGGGACTTTGCTATGATACTCATATCTGTCCCTTGGTAGGATCTTGTGAGATACAGTTGCAGATCAAGCACCTACAACACCTATCAGAGTCACAGAAGAAACTCAGTAGTCTTAGCTAAGGACGTAAGGAGTCTGAAAAGAGAAGTGCAAACTATTCATTCATAAAAACAGAGCACAGCTAGGTGTGGCAATCTTTAAGAATCAGAAGCACACTCAGAATTTCTGATTTGCACATTACAAAAAGCAGGGAAGTACAGATGATCTGACTCTTAAGATATACAACCTCAGTCCTACCTTTGCCTCATCCTTGTCCTGCTCTTTCACAAAGAGCAGTTTCTTCCCCTTAAGAGGGAAAAACAGACATTACAGCCACAGAGTGAAATGCACTCATTTGCTACTAATCATGAAGAAAACAGGTGACGTTTCTAAAGAGTTCTAAATAGTATCTCACTGCCTGTTACTCACAAAAAGAGAGCATATCAAATTTGGAAAATACTGGCTTCAACAAAGTTAAATAAGTTTGTTTTTTTTTTTTGCTACAAATCTTGATAGGAAGATTTAATGTCCATTGTGAATCCCAGATAAAACCTCATATGTTAAGTTTGAAAATATTTTTATGCCATCTACTCATTTTTCAAGTCTCAGATTAAATCAGGAAAGATTCTGATATCATAGATCAGGTGAGATCCCTCAATTACCAGTTTTTCAAGTGTCAGTTTTTATCGCTGTAATTATCCATTCAGCAAGCCATCTTTAAACATCTTCATAAAGTCAGGAATCCTGTCTGATTTTTTTACCCTTCTATTTTCAATGCCCAGGGCCCAGCAGTTAATAGGGACTAAATAAATATTTAATAAATGAATAAATAAAAGGTTTCTAGTGTTTACTTTTCTATTAAAATATTTAAATTTGCACTAATTTTAGAATTATAGAAAAGTTGCAAAAGAAATACATGCTTAATTCCTGGATACTATTCACCCTGCTTACCGAATGTTAATATTTCATATAACCATGGTACAATTATCAAAACCAGGACATGAACATCGGTGCGATGAACCCAAATTAGTCACATCTTGTGATTTTTCAGTAACATTCTTTCTCTGATATAGGATCCTAAATTGCATTTAGCTATTTTTCCTTAGTCTCTTCCAATCTGTAAGTTTTCCAGGTTTCCTATCTTCCATGGGCCTCACACGCTTTTTTTCTTTTCTAAGATTTAAAAGCACACATAACATATTTAGTGTATAGAGTAAAGGTGGAAAGGTACAAATCATCTAGCGAAACTCGGGGCCTGAGCAGTCATCCCCATTTGGGATCAGCCTTTGGAGTCATCCCTATCAATGCCATTCTGATGGTGGGAGAAGGTGAAAACCTGTCAGTACAGTAGTACAGAGACAGGGAACTGTGCAGCAAGGCACTTAAGGCCATGGTAACAGAGTGGCAGTGCATGAGCAAGTAGTCTTTAGAGTGACATCATGTAGTCTAGTAAATGCTTCAGTTCCACTAGTACATTTACCGACGATTTAAGGAGTGTTTTCGGACATCCAGTTTCATTATGCTTTATATCAGACTATTCTCAAGCATGCAATATAATAGATTCCAGCAAAACAACGTTCGGCGGCATCAGTTTCCCCTTCCTTCTCAGGTACTGACATCAGCTGTCATCTCAGTCCAAGCAGAAAAGCGGCGCG